TTTTTAGTAGAGATAGGGTCTCGCTGTTGCTCAGGCTGGTCTTGAACTCCTGACCTTGAGCGATCCACCCACCTCGGCCTCCCAGAGTGTTAGGATTACAGGTGTGAGCCACCGCGCCCAGCCTTTGACAGAGTATTCTTTGAAGCTAATTCTAAGATTCTTAAATGCCATTTACAAAATTATATCTGGGAGCCAAACTTCCCAGTGGAATAGAACTTGGAAAGTGATGATAGAAGTAAGGAGAAAGAAATACAATCCGGGATACCTATTTCACTTTATACACAACTTTTCAGAAATGCATCCAATGCATATATTAAGGTTAAGCTATATTCAGCAAAATTATGTCATTAAGAATATGAACAGGAAGAGGTGACAACCTGTCTGGCACACAGGAGGCTTCCAATAAATCCTGGCTGAATGAGAGAACTGGCTATCAGGACAAGGGACCATGTGAACAATAAAAGTTCTAAGGCTGGTCTCGAACACCTGGCCTCAAGCAATCCTCCCGCCTCAGCCTCCCAAAATGCTAGGATTACAGGGGTGAGCCACCGCGCCCAGTCCAACTATAGTTTTTATTGCCGGGGCTACTGTTGTTGTAAGGCTGCAGTCCCTAACCCCCAGGCCTTGAGGAGCAGTACTGGTCTGCAGCCTGTTAGGGAACGGGCTGCAGACCTCTGCCACCACTCCCAGAGGCCCCCCAATTTTTCCGTGGAAAAATTGTCTTCCACGAAACTTAGGAAGGGGGTACCACACAGCGGGAGGTGAGTAGCCGGCAAGCCAATGAAGTTCATCTGTATTTACAGCTGCTCCCCATCGCTCACATCACGGCCTGAGCTCTGCCTCCCCAATCCCCCCACCCCTCAACTTGTGGAAAAATTGTCTTCCATGAAAGTGGTCCCTGGTGCCAAAAAGGTTGGGGACCGCTGTTGTAAGACACTCTGAAATCCTGGAGAAGCGTTTGGGGTCAGGAATGCATAAATCTTTCCAACCCATCTTCTCCTTAAGCTCCCGCAAGGAGCTCTCATGGAGGGATACGCTGAGGTCACAAGGCGAGTTGCAGAACCAAGGATAGAACTCAGAATACCAGCTGAGACACACAGAGCTGCCTGGCAGGAGCGCCCTCGAACCCTTACCTCAGCACATGAACCGCACAGAACGGAAGAGAAGCTTTTACTGGGGGCTGCGGCTCCACTCCAGCTGCTCCTGCCCACAGCAGCCCTCTTTCAACTGTGCTTTTCCGAGGCTTCAGGAAGATCCTGAGTGGAAACCCCAACATGCTGCCCAGAATCATCCACCCTCCAAGGGACTCAGAGGACTCTACGTGCCACTGTGTGATGGTCTCCAGACCCCTTACCAGAGCTGGTGAGGGTGACACCATTCACCGTCCCCTCCACGTCCGTCTCATCCTCAGCGTAGCTCAGCATCAGGCTCTGCTGCCGGCTTGTTAGCCTCCTGTGGGCCGAGCACAGTTGGTGGCTGAGTGCTTCCTCTGGGCAGCTCTTTAAAGGACACACATGCAGCCAGTCCCCTCACAGCGTGTGGCAAAGGTGGGACCCCGACCCAGGCAGGGATATGCACTGAGCCCAGTGATGAGATCCTGGGGCCTCAAAGCTTCTGTAGAGAAAAGCTCCTAAAATACCCCCAGTTGTTTAAACAGCCATCACGGCGCTGTGCCAAGTACAGTTTACCGGGAGGAAGATCCGTTTATAAGCATGTGTGTGAAGCAGGTAAGAAATTAACTCATCTAATGAAAAGGACCACTGCTGCATACGCAAAGAGTGCGATGCACACCATCTGGGGGATGGACACGCTTGAAGCTCGGACTTTGGGGGGGTGGCGGACAAGGGCAACATAAGTAACCTAAACATCTGTACCCTCATAATATGCTGAAATAAAAAAAAAAAAAGAAAAGAAAAGGACCACTGCTGATACCTGGCCTCCGAGGGAGTTGGGCCCGCCCACCTGGGTGCCCACAGCACTCTGCCCAGACCCTCCCTTTTCCTGGTCACTTACGCTCTCATGCTCCCAACAGCAGTAACAACATCAATGATAAATCAACAGTAGCAGCAATAGCTAAGCATTTCTTACGTCTTATTCATTTAAACTCCCAACAACTCCGTGAGGTCACCCCTTCTGTTATGTCCACTTTACAGATGGAGAACTTGGGCAGGACACACTTGACTCAAAGGGAGAAGGGACCTGCCTAAACCCAGAGCTCACAGGGCAGAGCCACGACAGCCCAGGCAGTCTGGCTGAACCATGGCCCTGGAGCGCTCGGTGCAGCGCTGCCAGGTGAGAGGCTCAGCCGGCTCCTTCCTGGTGGAAGGGAGCATGCCGCCCTCTGGCAGGCCTGGCCATAGCCTAAGTGCGCACTCACTTTGGAACTCTTATCTTGATGTGGATGTAGTGATCTCCATAGCCATAGCTGTTAATCCGGGGGATGCCTTTCCCACTCATCCGAATCTTCTGGTCTATCTGAACCCCAGGGGGGATCTGTGAAGAAAGGAAACCTGTCATCGGGCGTGGTGGCACCTGCAGTCCCAGCTACTCAGGAGCCTCAGGCAGAAGGATCGCTTGAGCCCAGAAATTCGAGGTTGCAGTGAGCTATGATTACCCCACTGCACTCCAGCCTGGGTGACAGAGCAAGACCTTGTCTCTTTAAGAGAAAGAAAGGAAGTCTGTGGTTTCCCCTGGTCCTCAGTTGCCTGAATGAAAACAGTCTCACTACATGAAGACAACCTTGAAAAGAACTCCTCGAAAAAAACTTCCACTCGGGTTTCTGGACCAAGCCTGCTAATGACCACATGGAAATGGGCTACGTTGGGGTCCACCCAGAGCATGGCCTGCGACCAGGATGAGGGGACAGGAGTTTTGGGGAGGTGAGCCCAGGAAGCAGGAGTAAGGCAGTGAAGCAGGAGACCCCGGAGCAGGAAGAGCCAACCCAGGGTGTGTGGCCCTCCATGGCCTCAATCCCACGAGATCCGGGAGAAGCCCAGAGAATGGGCCTTGGACAGAGGTGGAAGCCTTTGTCCACAGCACCCACCTTCTTGATGGAGGTCACCCCAACCTCCCCTATACCCCACACCGAGGCTGGAGAAGGCCCTGCGGCGAATGAGCAGAGTGGCGGGACCTGGAGGTGGGAAGGGCCTGGAGGCAGGTGCGGGGTGAGGTCCAGGTGGTGAACAGGAAGCTGTCCACTGTGGCCACAACCTAAACCAGAGGTGGCCAGGGGTACATAACTCAGTACCATAGGCGTCTGTTCTCGCAGCCAGACGCCGGGTGGAAAGAGGTGCAGAGAGCACACACTAGGGCAACACAGCTCTGCATCACAGGTGCAGCCTGGTTCCCAGGGCCCGCTCCCCAGCAGAGGAGCAGATGCCAGCCAGGAGCTGCTTCTCATGGCAGTTACAAAGTCAAGTCCTGTGGCTTGTGATCCACACCCAAGGAATAGCCTAAAATTCCTCATGCCCTCCCCTGTCAGTCCCCCTGGCATGCTGGTCATGCACAGGTTCCAGGCCACTTGTCAGCCATTTCCCGTTTCAGAAAAAGAGCAACGAAGTGCAAGGGTGGCAAAGACCTCATCTTGCCCTCTTACCGTCACGTTGATCATCTCGTACAGGCCCTGGGCTCTGGCTGTCCCCCCGAGAACAGCCTGGGCTATAGAAATAAAGAGGTCAGAGTGGATGTCTGCGCCGTCCCTCCGGAACACAGGGCTTTTCTGCACCTGAAGCCAAATAGGAGAGATGAGCGTGGCCCACCAGAGCCATCCATGCCTGAGACTAAACATCAGCTGCAAGACTTGCCAGAACCGAGCTCGGGCCTGGTAAACTTTACCCCCCTTCTATGCTTACAGCACGGTATTGACGGAAACGCCACCCCAAGGCTCTGGCAGTGGCGTTCTACACACGTGTGCACTGCGATGGAAGAGTGCTTAGATTTCCTCAGTCTCAGACCACGCTGTTCAGTTGTGAAGGGAAATAAAAATGTAAAACTGGCTTTTTGAACATTTTTTTCTAAATCTTACTTTACTGGAAAGTATAGAGGAAAACAGACTGACACGTCTACAAAGGTGAAAATAGTTTATCTTCCTGACAGTCATTCGATACAAGCTACCTAAAGACAGACTGGCAGCTCAGGAATTAACTCGATTTTATAAATACTATCTCTTATGTCTCAAAGATACTCTGCCCTCAATTATTTCTTCTTCCCTCTTTTTCTTTTTTCTCTATTATCAGATGGGAACAGAAGCTGAATTCTCTACCAAACTTTTCTCATACACTGGCTTCTAGCTTTCTGCCTTCATCTTTCTCAGTCTAGAATATTCACCCTTAACACTGTTTTTGCCTTTGTTTTAAATTATGGAATATCTGACATATACAAAAAGGCAAAGTAAATAATCTATCAAGCAGGGCGTGCCCACAGCCAGCTTAGGTGACAAAATATTGCCGACACAGCTGAAGCCTCCTCGCACCCCCCAGTTAACCGCTACTCGGAATTTAGTATTTATCATTCCTACAAGCATCTCTTCACCTTCGCTATGTACTTCCACGTCCCTGAATAATACATAACGCCACCTGACACACTGTGCAGCTTTATGCAGGTGGTCGCCTGTGCCCTAGAGCCTCTTACAACCTGCCTGCCTTCCCTGAGGTTTGTGACTGGCGCCTCGTGCCCTCCTCACTGCCCTGAAGCACTCTGCCCACAGCCGAGCACTGGCCATTCTCTTGTTCAAGGACAGCAGGACATTGTCAATGTCTTGCTGTTACAAACAGGGCTGTCACGCACATCCTGGTACCTGCCACTGGCTACCCGTGTTCGTTTTTCTCGGGTGTATATCTAGGAGTGCAATTGCTGGTAGAAGACACTTTCTTCTTTAATGCCTCCGTTACCTCAGAAAATCGAGGTCTGCCATCTGTATACAGCATGCAAAATAGTACCCTTAGCACTTACTGCCACCATCAACAATTTGACACATAAACAAAAACACAAGGAGATGTTTTCTATATTTTTATGTCCTATATTTCTAACTTATAAACATCTTGAGGAAGTTTTATTCACTCCACACCTTCATGGTAGCAGACAACTAACAACCACATCTAAGAGGCCACTGTCCCCTCAGAAATATGAGTGGTAAGACACGCTCCCCTGAAGCTCTGACCTCCCTCCAAGGAACGGCCTCAGCTGTCCCTGCTCGAAGAGAACAAGGGCCCGACAGCAGCTCTGCAGGTAGAGCACCTACCCTGAAAGTGATGAAAATTTCCTTCTTTCCTACAGGCATCCTCACAGTCTGGCCATCCTCAACTCCTAGAAGAAGAAAGTTCAAAAGAGAACAATTATTGTGGGACCTCTCACAGCATTTTCTACCCAAGATCCATTTATAACCCATGTTCCTTGTTCATTCCTTTTCCTTACTAATGAGGAACAAGGCAATTATTCAAGACAGCAACAAGGATAACTTTCCAAAGGGGTACCATGCAATAACTGATAACTGAACAAGAGCACCTTGGAGACATTCTTTCAAGTTTACTGAACACCTGCCTCATGCCTGGTCTATGTAGTACCTCAGGGAGTTTACGGTCTAGTAGGGGAGATGGGTATTAATCAAATGATAATACTTATAAATGTGTAGTTACAAAGATGTGTTTTTAGAAGTAAAAGGTCACAACTCCAGAGAAAGTACATCTAAAGGACAGGAAGGAAGGCTGGGGACAGTGGCTCATGCCTGTAATCCCAGCACTTTGGAAGGCCAAGGCGGGAGGATCACTTAAGGCCAGGAGTTCAAGACCAGCCTGGGCAACACAGTGAGATCCCATCTCTACAAAAAATAGAAAAATTAGCCGGCCGTGGTGGCACACACCTATAGTCCCAGCTACTTGGGAGGCTCAGGCAGGAGGATCGCTTGAGCCCAGGAGTTTCAGGTTGCAGTGAGCTATGATCACACCACTGCACTCTAGCCTGGGTGACAGAGCAAGACCCTGTCTCCAAAAAACAAAAATGAACAGGGAGGAAAGAAGCTTCCCTGGGGAAGCAACACTAAGCTGGGGTCTCCAAGAAGAACAGAGTTAACCTTAACTGCTAGGGGAAGGTGGACAGTAAGTTTCAGACACAGGAACAGTGTATGTGGAGTCCGGGGGGCCGAGAGGGTTCAGGAGCAGAGGAGGCATAGCCAGGGTGGCAATGGGGACAATGCTGGCCTCGTCGACTGAAGATGGAGGGGAGAAAGGACAGGAAAAAGCAGGTTAGGAACTTCTCCCTCACCAGAGAGGAGCAGAGTGTGCAACTCAGTTTTCTTTTCTCCAATGTGACATGCAAAGTGTAGATTTTAAGGACAACTGGCACAAAGAGAAAATTCAAGGAGATTCTAGGTCTTCCTCCAGCCTGCAGCTCCAGGGCCTCAACCACAGCTTCTACCAACAGCCAAGTCACACGGGGCACAGCAACCTCAGCCCTGTCCAAGCCCCTGGACACGGAGAGCCCGAGAGCCCACCTGCAGGCACGGGGATCACCACTCGCTTCTTCTGCTTGGCCTGTCCTGCTCCCCTGCAGACCACACAGGGAGTTATGATGATGGAGCCACGGCCACCACATCTTCGACATGTGGAACGCATCACAAAAGGGCCCGTATTTATGGTTTCCTGATGAAACGGAGAAGAAAAATTGTACCTGTAAGTATGCAGCTAAACTGATGGCCACGGTTCCGGGACCACAATGTGCACAAGAAAAATGCTTCATTAAAGGCTTATTTTTTACATGCTTATGCACTAAAACATACTGCCTAGGAACACAGGTCAGGGACTCAGACTACTGATTTGATCTTCTAGAACACACCAACTTCTGTACTCCAGATCGCCAAGTTGATTATATAAGACTGAAAAAGGAGATACTGCCTCTCTATAGAAGTCCTGAAAACCCCTGGGAGCCGAGCAGCACATTTTAAAAAGATTATTCTCCTTCTTTTTTTTTTTTTTCCGAGACAGAGTCTCACTCTGTTGCCCAGGCTAGAGTGCCGTGGCGTCAGCCTAGCTCACAGCAACCGCAAACTCCTGGGCTCAAGTGATCCTCCTGCCTCAGCCTCCCGAGTAGCTGGGACTACAGGTGCTTTTTAGTTGTCCAGCTAATTTCTTTCTATTTTTAGTAGAGATGGGGTCTCGCTCTTGCTCAGGCTGGTCTCGAACTCCTGACCTCAAGTGATCCTCCCACTTCGGCCTCCCAGAGTGCTAGGATTACAGGCGTGAGCCACCACGCCCGGCCATTCTCCTTCTAATTACAAAAGCATTAGTTGGAAAAATAAAGAAGAAAATGACAATTGGATGCACCCTCCCAACTCCCAGCTGCCCTGCTCCAGTCACTGAGCCTGCGATTCCAGGAGAGGAGGAATGTAGGCCTCTGACTGGTCAGGGCCACGTGGGAAGAGAGAGCTGGGCTGTGTTCACTAACACACACACACACACACACACACACACACACACACACACACACACCCCCAGCGCAGGCACTCAGGAGCAATGACACAAGCAGCTCTCACAGCCACTGGTGCCCTGGCCTGTCTCTCCCTGTCCCCAACTCCCAACTGTCCTTCCTGAGTGAGTGGTTGAGGGCACCAAACACTGTGGTTCAAAGGGGCTAAGGAGAGCCCCACGCTGGGAGCTGCTCTGCCGAAATCAGATGTGAACAAGACAGGGTAGAGACTAACTGTGGATTAAACGCACAGGGGCTGCACTCAGGCTGGCAGTGCACAGAGCTTGTGCACAATTTCCCCCCGCCGGGAGCAACTTCTCCCTCATCCCCATCTCCCCATCCCCTCCTCCCAGGTGTCCCTCATCTCTCAGCCCCTCCCAAGGTAACCAACTCCTCACTGCCAGCACAGACCGTACCAGTCTCTGAAACGTATGCCAACCTGGAGGGTGAGCCAAAGGTATCTTCTTGCTTTAGTTTTCCTTGCCCCGACTAGTGAGGAACGCTTACTGGTCACTTGCACTTCCTTTTCTGCTCAGCCTGGACCAGTTTCTCTAATAAGCTGTTGGATTATTCTCATTATCCTTACAAGCCCTTTGCATGTCAGGAAGACTAATCCTTTAGCAAATTGTTGCAAATAATTTTCCCAGTGTCAAACATTACATTTTGAGAGAGTATACTTCAGCCTTACTATCTTATCCCAATGTTCACTTCAGAAATGTTTTTTAAAAAAAAAGTCACAGCAATGTAGGGCCTTGGAGGAAGGACCCTGAAAGTGAAAGGGTGGATGAATAGTTTTAAAATCTGTAACAAGTGGCCGGGCATGGTGGCTCACGCCTGTAATCCTAGCACTTTGGGAGGCCAAGGCGGGAGGATCACTTGAGGTCAGGAGTTCGAGACCAGCCTGAGCAAGAGCGAGACCCCATCTCTACTAAAAATAGAAAGAAATGAGCTGGACAACTAAAAATATATAGAAAAAATTAGCCGGGCATGGTGGCGCATGCCTGTAGTCCCAGCTACTCGGGAGGCTGAGGCAGGAGGATCACTTGAGCCCAGGAGCTGGAAGTTGCTATGAGCTAGGATGACGCCACAGCACTTTAGCCAGGGCAACAGAGTGAGACTCTATCTCAAAAAAAAAAAAAATTGAGTCTTTTCCCCACCTTAAAATTATGAAAATATCCCAAAGTGCTTTTCAGAGAAGACAGCATGGTTTCCTTGTTTGGTCTGTGTTGTTGACCAGGAAAGAGTAACTCCTGGAAAAGCGTAGAAGCTTCTAGACAAACCAATCCCACCTAGTTATGAATTCTCGAAACTCTGGGAGTGCCTGAACGAACATTCACAGGAGCACAGAGCAAAGCAACAGTGTGGAGCAGCGTGGGTGGGTGCAAGGTGGGAGATGCCAGAGAGGGGGTTCTGTCGCCCCTTA